CAAGGCGATCAAACCGGTCAGTCCTAGAGGAGATCAACCCTGACTGCTCTTTAGAAGGCCAGATCCTGAAGTTGAAACTCAAGTACTTTGGCCACCTAATGAGAAGGAAGGACTCACTGGAGAAGAGCCTAATGCTGGGAAAGATGGAGGGCAATAGAAGAAGGGGACGACAGAGAATGAGGTGGCTGGATGGAGTCACCGAAGCAGTAGGCGTGAGCTTAAATGGATTCCAGAAGATGGTAGAGGACAGGAAGGCCTGGAGGAACATTGTCCATGGGGTTGCGATGGGTCGGACACGACTTCGCAACTAACAACAACAAAAGAAGCTTCGCAACTAACAACAACAAAAGAAGATTCAGGCTTTTCACTGCCAAAAGCTAAATTTCTGAAACTCTAGATGTTTTTGCAATTTTACCCCTGCAAAAAGGTATTTGGAATCTTTAGAAAGATATCCAATATATTTTGGCAGTTACAGAGATCCTAGCTTCATGAAACTTTCTGAAGGGGGTCTGTTGATTTTATCAATACACACACACGCGTACACATACACACAGAGAGAGAGCGAGAGAGACAGAGAGACACAGAAAGAGAGAGAGACAGAGAAAGAGAGACAGACAGTAAAACAGAGACAGAAAGAGAGAGACAGAGACAGACAGAGAAAGAGAGAGATATCTCCCCATGTGCTACTCATTTAAAAGAAATATTCTTCATATGCTCTTCACATATGCATTACTAAGTGGCTGTGAAGCAATTATGTCAAGCCACCGTATTTGTCAGCCTTAGTCTTAGCCATTATTTTACTGCAAATCATCTTTAATAAAAAAAAAATCACACTGGATTAATCAACATGTTCTATGGCCCTGTGTGAGAGAGAGTATTTTTGGTATAGGGTTCCAAAGTTCCGTTTCATAATTTCTGTTTCTGTATTATGTGTTGTGAAACTCTGTCATCATCTTTTCCACAACTATACGGCAGGGATAGTGAAGGAAAGTCAGTTAAGAAGGTGTACAATGGAACAACGAATGAATGAATGATAAACTGGCCCAAATTAACCCGAGACAAGTCCTTTGCCCAGCAACTGAATTTATGTTGGCTTTTTTGTCCTTTGCAGAGTGTCCTTCATGCCGTTACCTGTCATGAAAAAGTGGTGATTGTTCAAAAAGATAATGCAGAGTCCCTGGGAATGACGGTGGCAGGAGGTTGTTTATCTTCGCACAGGGAATGGAATCTACCTATTTATGTCTTAAGTGTGGAACTGGGTGGCGTCATCAGCAGAGATGGCCGGATCAAAACAGGTGATTGCATTAGAGTCCAGAGTGTATTTTGAGATGGGAATCCATCTAGTTCAGCTCAAAGAAATTTCATGTTTCAGTCTTCTTTATGTACTTTTTAAAATATATTTAGCTGGAACAGCTTTTATGTGGTCTTCTTCGGTCATTACTGTTGAATCTTGGGGAGGTTAAATTAGACTACATTGGATCACTGGAACACAGAATATTAAAATAACAGGGTCACAAGGGACCTTGGGGGTCTTCCAATCCCCTGCTCGAACAGGAGACCCTATACCAGGGGTAGGCAACCTTGGCTCTTTTATGACTCGTGGACTTCAACTCCCAGAATTCCCGAGCCAGCCACGCTGAGGGGAAAGGGAGAGGTTTCCAAGCTGAGCCATGCTGGCTCAGGAATTCTGGGAGTTGAAGTCCACGAGTCATAAAAGAGCCAAGGTTGCCTACCCCTGCCCTATACCATTCCAGACAAGTGGCTATCCAGTCTCTTCTTAAAGACCTCCAGCAATGGAGCACCCACAATCTCTGGAGGCAAGCTACTCCACTGATGGATTGTTCTCCCTGTCAGGAAATTTCTCCCTACTTCTAGGTTGGATCGCTTTAATGATCTTCTTCCTGTTACTTCTTGTCCTACACTTAAGTGTTTTGGACAACAGGTCAACCCCTTCTTCTCTTGTGACAGTCTCTTGGGTACTGGAAGACAGCTATCATATCGCCCCAATCCTTCTCTTTGATAGGCTAGACATACTTAGTTCCAGTGCTTTTTTTGGAAAAACAAAAGGTGCCGGAACTCACACATGCCATACAACCCGCCTTGCCTACCCTACAAGGTTCCATCCCAAAAAGGTGCCAGAACTCCGTTCTGGGCGTTCTATAACAAAAAAAAGCCCTGCTTAGTTCCCTTAACCATTCATCATACGGTTTAGCCTCCAGATAAGTTCCTTTTTGCTCTTCTTTGCATTCTTTCTTGGGCCTCAGCATTTATTTATCTTTTTTTTTTGTATCATGATGACCAGAACTGGACAGAGTATTCCAAGTGTGGCCTCACTAGTACAGTATAAAGTGGTACTATCACTTCTCATGATCTTGATGCTACCTCTGTTGATGCATCTTTGGGCTGCATTGGTGTGGTTTTTTGGGGCAGCTGCAGCACACTGCTGGTTCATACTTAAGTGGTGGTCCACTCGGACACCTAGATCTCTCTCACAATTACTACTGTTGAACTAGGGTAATGCTATTCTATACATGCGCATTTGATTTTTCCTGTTTGGGTGTTTTTTTTCTCACCACTGAACTGTATCTTGTTGGATAGGGCCAATGCTCAAGTCTGCCAAGAGTCTATCTTCTAAAGTGTTGGCAGTTCTCCCCACCTTGATGTCATCTACAAATCTGATGAGTTCCCCTTCTCTCTCCTAGCCTAAATTAATTATGAAGATGCTGAAGTGTACTGGACCTAAGACAGAACCTTAGGGCTTCCCATTGCATGCTTCATGTAGATGTCCTTCCATTGAGGACTGTATGTTGAGTGCAGTTGGTCAGTCAGTTTTGAATCCATCTGGTGGTGACGGTGTCTATCTCACATTTTTCTATCTTACCAGGAAGTAAGCTGGAAAAAGTAGCCAACCCTATCCTTGTAAAAAAAAAAAAATCAGGCTAAAATATTACATCAAAAAACCCCAACACATTTCCTTTGTTTATTCTTTATAGGGGCATCTTGCTTACCTTCCAAGAAGTCCTAGAGATTCTTGACACACACACACACACACACACCACCCCCAAATTGGGAGGGATAGACAGACTGAGCAACTGTGAGGTATCCATTTATTAGAATGTAATCTAGCAAACATTTTGGCTAGAGAGGAATTTCCTAGACTTATCTGACAATTTGCGTTGTTTACACCTATAAAGGTACAAATAAGAACAAATAATTATGATTTTTTGTTTTGGAATTTCTACATTTAAGGGGAGCTAAATACAGACATGCATTCTTCTTCCCTTCTGCTTAGTTTAGTTCAAAGGTGTCCAGCCTTGGCAACTTTAAGACTTGTGGACTTCAGCTCCCAGAATTCCCCAGCCAGCCTTGGATGCTGAAGTCCACAAGTCTTGAAGGCTGCTAAGGCTGGACACCCTTGGTTTAGTTTAAAAAAAAGTTATTTAGTTGAAGAAACAATTATTCATCTTGTTACAACCCAAAGAAGCCCACAATAAATAAATGAAAAATATTTTGAAATGCTAGCAATGAAATAACAATAGGGCATAGAGCTGCAATCTTCAGACCATTGGCAGAGCTATATGGCTTTTTAATGCTCTGGTTGAAGGGGCGGGGGGTAGGAGGAGAAAACAGACTCCAAAATACAATACAGTTTGCTAACTCTTCATAAAACACATACGTTTTTAAACAGCAGTACTCTAAATTTCCTCCTGTGGTACCAAGTGGGCAATTTTAAAGAACCAATTCATCAAGATCACGTGAAGTGTTAATACCACTTAACAATGCCTTGGTAAGGCCACACTTGGAATACCGCATCCAGTTTTGGTCACCGCGATGTAAAAAAGATGTTGAGACTCTAGAAAGAGTACAGAGAAGAGAAACAAAGATGATTAGGGGACTGGAGGCTAAAACATATAAGGAACGGTTGCTTGGAATTGGGTATGTCTAATTTAATGAAGAGAAGGACCAAGGGGGACATGATAGCAGTGTTCCGATATCTCGGGGGCTGCCCCAAAGAAGAGGGTGTCAAGCTATTTTCCAAAGTGCCTGAAGGCAGGACAAGAAGCAACGGATGAAAACTAATCAAGGAGAGAAGCAACCTAGAACTAAGGAGAAACTTCCTGACAGTTAGAACAATTAACCAGTGGAACAACCTGCCTCCAGAAGCAGTGAATGCTCCAACACTGGAGGTTTTTAAGAAGAGACTGGATAGCCATTTGTCCAAAATGGTATAGGGTTTCCTGCCTGAGCATGGGGTTGGACTAAATGACCTCCAAGGTCCCTTCCAACTTTACTATTATTATTATTATTATTATTATGGATCATCGCACAGTCAGCCAAATGTTCAGACTGGATTTGGCATTTTGTCTACCTATCGAGTCCTTACCCAGGACCTGGGATAGGCAGATGTGGATGTTTGATGGTATTACAGATATTGTCGCAGGATGGAAGCGGTTCCTAGTAAGCCCGCCTTTTGTAATTGACTGATGGCGAATTTGTCAATGCCAATGGTGTTCAAGTGGTGCTCCAGTTGTTTTGGGATTGCACCCAAGGCGCCTATTACTATTGGTACTACCCTTGCTTGCTTTTGCCACAGTCTTTCTATTTCTATTTGTAGGTCTTTGTATTTTTTTATCTTCTCCAGTTCTTTCTCATCTATTCTGCTGTCTCCAGGCACTGCCACGTCCACTAACCAGACTTTTTTGTCTTTTTTATCGACAATTGTTAAGTCCGGGGTGTTATGTTGCAGGTGCTTGTCTGTTTGAATTCTGAAGTCCCAGAGCAGTTTAATTGTATCATTTTCTATGACTTTCTCTATTTTATGATCCCACCAGTTCTTGCTTACAGGCAAATGATATTTCTTGCAGATCTTCCAATGCACCATTGTTGCTACTTTGTCATGCCGCTGCTTGTAGTCAGTCTGTGCGATCTTCTTGCAGCAGCTTACCAGGTGGTCCACTGTTTCTTCAGCTTCTTTGCATAGGCGGCACTTNACACACACAAGATAACAGCCAGATGTGGCCCAAGGAAAATGGGAGACGCTTCCTGATTTATTAGAAACAAGGCTCCTGAAACACCAATCTCCACTCACTCACATCCACTTCTGACATAACTTCGTGGCATTATTTTTCAGTGAGGATTTTGATTTCCCTAAAGCTCCAGATTTTTCCCACGAAAAAGGGGGAAGTCAAAGCTGAGGAAGAAATGAGTCACCGTGTGTATAGCGATGGGAGTTTTGGATTAGATCCGTGGAGACCCCCTTCAACTCCCCGTTCTGCTGTAAAACTAATTGGGTACTAAGTGGTCATTCACTATCTCTCAGTCTGATCTTACCTCAGATAGCGTCTATAAAAAAATGTACCAAATGCTGGGTTTTTATGCTTCTGAACCGACAGGCAGATCCGTTGAACTGAATGGAATTTAATTTTGAATGCGCATACGTTCTGCTATTATTAAAAATAACATCTGGATCTTCCTGTCAGCTTTTAGCTTAATCTTTTTTACACCGATGGATGTCTACGTATGTTATCCAGTTCCAGCATGACCTATTCCCAAGTGGGAGTCACCATCTAAAATGGCTGAAGATCAATTGAGAACAGAGATGAAATTACCTTATAATTTGTTCCAGATGCCACAAGTCTCTGTAAAAACCTGGTACTTTTTTTTCAGGGTTCTACCCCACATTTAAACTTGTTTTCAGTGCTCACAAATGTTTGCTTGCACATCATTCTTGTTGATAGTGTGCTATGAATTAGCCATGTTTACAAAGGGGGGGACTTTAACATGCAGGTTATGTCATTCCCTCACCTATCTGCATATCAATTTTTAAATGCAGGCTTGTGTGCACTAAAATCCTTAAACCATAATTAGTTATGATTAAATTCAAACTATGAATACCCACTACTAAAAGATGTTGGTGTCTCTTTTATCTTAAACATACGCAAGATGCATGATCATATATCAATTAGTTAATACAATCTAGCATATGTCACTCCGAATAGTATTGTCTAATCAGCATTAGACCCTTTAAATACATAAGGACCCCTAACCCTATATAAGGATATGCAAATATGATAAATAAATAAATAATAGTCAACTACTTGTTTAATGGCCATAGGATGCCAACCATAGAGTTCTTAATTATTTTAATGAGAGCACATGGAGTTTAGTGAACATACTAAACAAATTAGCTTTCCAGATTTGAATTTTTCAAATATAATGTTCATTTGCAGATTAGTTGGCATTTCTAAGTTAGCAGTTTCCAAGAACCTAGCAATCTAGAATTAGTCATGATGATGATCCTAACAATTATAGCAATATTTTAAAAAGCACCAAAACAGACAAACTATCAAATCCCAAAAGTGCTTTTTCACGAGGCAACTGGACTTTCTTGTTTTTCGCTTCTCATCCAAGAAGCTTTTTCAGCTCTGACTGGATGGTGGGGAATGGAAAGATTTATACTCCTTGCAGACAACTGGTCATTTGCATTCTTTTAAAGAGTCGTTGAGGCCACTTGGAGGTTTATTTGTGTCTTCAGGGTCACCTGAGTGGTGCAAATGGGTGTGGAGCCTTCTTGGAACTGCTGAAAGGACTGTGTTGTAGACTGGAGATAGATGTTGTCAAAATCAAAATTGAACAGCCCTCTCTCAACAGAGAGAGAGGGATATGACAGCTCCAGTCAGAGCTGAAGAAGCTTCTTGGATGAAAAGGGAAATGTCTTCAAAGAAAAACAAGAAAGTCCAGTTGCCTGGACTTTGGGATAATTATGACCTAGCTGACTGAGAATCTCCATAGACACAAACCAGCAAAGTTCACAAATACTTAATTTTAACCTGTTTACGATACAGATACAGAATACGCACACTTATGCATAGTCTGTTGCAATAGTCAAAGGCCACAGATGTATTGTCATTCATTCCAGACTGTACACACATCTCTTTTGCCCAAAACAATTGGTTTTCATTTTGTAGATGGTTGATTAAAGCCCAGAGATTAAAAAAATGTCCAAAAAACTAATTTTCTTGAACTTTTGGATCTGGAAACTAAATGTAGATCTGATGCACATTTGCCATAGCTCTGATAGTGTAACTAAAAGATCTTAAGCTGTATGACGATGATTTTGTTCTACAAATGGACTTCAGGGCAGAGCACATACAAAACCCAAATAAAAATATAGTATTATATTAAAAATATATGTGCGATCAGTGGTCATATCCAATTCATAAACAACCTGAGTTGGCCCCTCTCAGAATAGTGAGTGAATAAAAAATGTTTCCACTATTTTGTTTTTCCGTGTCCACTAGGAGATATTCTGCTCAGCGTGAATGGAATTGATCTGACAGGTGTCAGCCGTGGAGAGGCCGTAGCCCATTTGAAAAATGCCTCCTCATCCGTTGTGTTCAAAGCACTAGAACTGAAAACGTGTGAAACCACAGAAGGAGAAAACGGGGACTTATTGAGCGATGCCAATTTGAGCTCCTCAAGTCAGACCGAGTGGTCTCCTTCCTGGGTGATGTGGCTTGAATTACCAAGGTGAGTTCAAGTAAAAGGTCCCGAAAGAAACTGGGGAGAAAGTTGTATGAGACTTACGTGACACTAGCTCAGCTTAATCCACTGCACGGATATTTTAATGAAATCCAGGTTCTTTGAAATCTCTTCTGCTTTCCCCACGCTGTATCTCTCGTAGCTATAGGTCAGGGGTGTCAAACTCAATTTCACTGAGGGCTGCATTAGCATTGCGGTTGCCCTGGGGGGGGCAGGTGGGTGTGGCCAGAGTGGGTGCAGCCTACTGGGTGGGCGATGGAGTGGGTGCAGCCTACTGGGTGGGCGATGGAGTGGGTGTGGCCTAATGGGTGGGCGTGGCCAGTTCTACATCATCTGCATCAAGGGTGCCTATGGGGGGCATGGGCAGGAGTGGGACAGATCTGAGGGTCTCTGGCAGAAGGGGGTGGGACCGGGGCAAGTGCCAAGGCATGGTCCACTGGGGCAAGTGCCAAGATGGCCACCACAAAATTGTACATTGGCTCCCGGCTGGCCTGGGCCAGGGCCAAGGCAGAGGGGGCCGTTCCCTCACTGTTTCCAGGATGGCTTCACGGGCCACATGAAACCACTTCGTGGGCCGCATCCAGCCCCCGGGCCTTGTGTTTGACATGTCTGCTATAGATGGACAATCTATACCCGTGGTGGCGAACATATGGCACGCGTGCCACAGGTGGCACACAGAGCCCTCTCTGTGGGCATGCGCACCGTCGCCCCAGTCCTAGGTCTTCAGCTGGGTTTTATAAAACCTTTTCGCTTTAGGCCTCCGCCGCTGTGTCGCACACCCAACGGGCCACGCCCACCCGGCACCCGACGATACATAAGTGGGTTTTGGGTTGCACTTTGGGCACTCGGTCTCTAAAAGATTTGCCATCACTGATCTACACTGATCTAGTTTAAGGGAGCAAGAAGATCCTGAACAGCTCGCTTCTTTTTTTTTTATAGGCCTAGCCATTACACATTATGCATTACAGGCAGTTCTCAACTTACGGCCACAATTGAGCCCCAAATTTCTGTTGCTAAGTGAGACAGTTGTTAAGTGAATTTTGCTCCATTTTATTTTAACCTTTCTTCCTACCATTGTTAAGGGAACCATTGAAGTTGTTTAGTAACGCAGCTGTTAAGTAGATCTTCCTCCATTGACTTTGCTTGTCAGAAGGTCATGAAATATGATCACATGAACCCGTCATAAATATGAGTCAGTTGCCAAACATCTGAATTTTGATCATGTGCCCATGGGGATGCTTGTTGTTGTTGTTAGTTGCGAAGTCGTGTCCAACCCATCGCGACCCCATGGACAACGTTCCTCCAGGCCTTCCTGTCCTCTACCATCTTCTGGAGTCCATTTAAGCTCACACCTACTGCTTCAGTGACTCCATCCAGCCACCTCATTCTCTGTCGTCCCCTTCTTCTGTTGCCCTCAATCTTTCCCAGCATTAGGCCCTTCTCCAGTGAGTCCTCCCCTCTCATTAAGTGGCCAAAGTACTTGAGTTTCAACTTCAGGATCTGGCCTTCTAAAGAGCAGTCGGGGTTGATCTCCTCTAGGACTGACCGGTTTGATCGCCTTGCAGTCCAGGGGACTCGCAGGAGTCTTCTCCAGCACCATAGTTCAAAGGCCTCAATTCTTTGGCGCTCAGCCTTTCTTATGGTCCAACTTTCACAGCCATACATTGAAACTGGGAAAACCATGGCCTTGACTATACGCACTTTTGTTGGCAGGGTGATGTCTCTGCTTTTTAGTATGCTGTCTAGATTTGCCATAGCTTTCCTCCCCAGGAGTGTGAAAAACAGTCATAAGTCACTTTTTTCAGTGCCGTTGTAACTTTGAACGGTCACTAAATGAACTGTTGTAAGTCGAGGACTGCCTGTACATCCATAGAGCACCCTGCATGAATACCCAGCTTTAGGATCTGGACCACCCCGTGTCTTTGCACACCATCTATGCAGCTTGCAGGCTTCACAGGCACCACTTCAGTTTCTAGCTTGTTTTAAATTGTTTGTCTTTGCCCAGATGTTCAAAAACTCCCCATGCAGTGGTGGTGAAATTGTCCAAGCCACTTTCCTAATTCACCCTCAGCCAGCCTTAAAAAACTGTTCTAATGGGCTAGGAGCAGCTGTGTTATATTTTGGTATGATTTTTTTTTTTTAAACCCAAATAAAACAAAACCATGAAGCACATAGTTTGTTAGCCACTCATAAAATGCATTTAAATGTCTTCTTGGGCTATGATTTATACTTCATTACAACATTTGTCTCAACCTGAAGTTTTAAAGTGAGATACTGCCAGGATGACACACTGTTAAATTTACCCTCAAGCTGAACTTCTGGAGCCTGTAAAATAAGGCAAATTGATTGTACAAGACTCTCTAACTGATTTGCCACAAGCCTTTTGTTTTATTCAGCCTTATTCATATTGATCTAAATATATAAGATTGTACTGTGTCTCGTGAACTGGAAAGCAAATTTTTTGTTTCAGTTATACATTACATGCATGCAAGGATTATTTTTAAGCCATTTTTGGGGAACATTGCACCTCCTCAGAAATATTTCAGGTATTTCTCAAAAAGCATCCGAATAGGTAGAGATTTTATTTTATTTTATTTTTAAAAAAGAAAAGCTGTTGTTCTTTATGAGAAGTTGCAAGGTTTGGTTGGTGGTGAATCTCCAGTTCACCTAAATTGTTTTAAAAGAGAGCAAGGAAGCTCGTGAAGAATAAAGTTCTCAATGTCTAGCTATAGCAGTATAATATCTGTAAATTATTTCTCACATTGCACATATTTTAATCCCTGTAGCAGGGGAAGAAATAGGAGGGTTCAGTAGCACTTGTGTTCTGTTTTGGGACTTGTACAAACTGCAAAAATAATAATAATAGATAAACTCTTAACAGAATAACAGACTAACAGAGCTGGAAGGGACCTTGCAGGTCTTGTAGTCCAACCTCTTTGATTAATAATAATAATAATAATAATAATAATAATAATAATAATAAGTCAGTTGCAAAAGGCGGCCTTACTAGGAACTGCTTCCATCCTGCGACGATATCTGTAATACCATCAAACATCCACATCTGCCTATCCCAGGTCCTGGGTAAGGACTCGACAGGTAGACAAAAATGCCAAATCCAGTCTGAACATCTGGCTGACTGTGCGATGATCAATAATGATGATGATGATGATGATGATGATGATGATGATGATGATGATGATGATGATGATGATGATGATGATGATGATGATGTCAAACTGCCGGCCCAGTTGTGGTGAAACCGAACTCACCCCATTGCCGGCAATGGCAAAAAAGTTGTGATACGTCACGACACGTCCCGTGATGCTGCAAGTTTGACACCCCTGCCCTATACCATTTCAGACAAATGGCTGTCCAGTCTCTTCTTAAAATCTTCCAATGTTGGAGCATTCACAGCTTCTGGAGGCAGATTGTTCCATTGATTAATTGTTCTAACTGTCAGGAAATTTCTCCTTAGTTCTAGGTTGCTTCTCTCCTTGGTTAGTTTCCATCCGTTGCCTTCAGGTGCTTTGGAGAATAGCTTGACTCCCTCTTCTTTGTGGCAGCCCCTGAGATATTGCAACACTGCTATCATGTCCCCCCTCGTCCTTCTCTTCATTAAACTAGATCTTGATCTGATTCAGCATAGGTCTGTCTCTTCAAAATGAAGCCCAATATGGTTTGCTTGTATTTTGCAATAACCTGTTTACTCCCCATTGCTTTATCTAAGCCATCCTTTAATTCTGTGGCATATATGTTTAATAGCAAATCAGTTGATAGAGAACATTTGAAAATACGCTTGTGAAAATGTGAAATGTATATTGTGATTAAATGATCAAGACACATTGAAGTAGGCCTCCAGTGACATAATACCCCCAGACCGATATCAGGACTCCTTCTATTTATCGATAAGAATTGTTTAGAGTTTTACAGTTGTACATATAATTGGCTATGACTAATGGAATAAAATCTGCAGGGATTCCTTTACCGTTTACCTAGTTCTACATTCCATGCGACTTTATGAAGCCCATCAAGTATCAGTCTGAACCATAGATAGAATTTACCTTATTCATTTTCCCTATCAAACTACTGGCTTATAAATGAGAGGTTTAAACCAGAGCTGAGAATTAAAATGGACTGGGTAGAATTGAGGAAACAAAGAAACGAAAATTTAAGAAGAAGTGAGCCCTGCAAATAAAAGTGAATTCTTAAGAGAGAGCTGGAAATGGGAAAGGGGAAAAAAATGTGAGAACCAAGAAAAACATCAAAGGGTCAAGAGAGAAAGGGGGAAAAAAAGAAATATTGATGAGACTTTAAGCAGAGTCAGATCTGGAGAATTATATGAACACGTCCATGAAGTCAACAGAAGCTGGGGTGAACTCAGTGGAGACTTAAAGAGTTTTTAGATTCTGTAAATACTTAAGAAGGGGTCTTGGAGAGAAAGAGACAAACAAAGAATACAGATTCCCCAAAAATAAATATTAACATACTAGCTGTACCCAGCCACGCGTTGCTGTGGCTCAGTCTGGTAAAAGCGTGTGTTGCTTTTATGTCCAACAGATGGCGCTGTTTTTCAAAAAAGCATGTTTTTACCTGTCACAGGTGTGACATCTATATAATATAGGTATATAAAATGCGCATATTCGAATGCAACGTTGTGTCAAAATTTCAAAGCAATCGGTGAAGAACTTTCGGAGATTTAAGATTTTGAACAAACGAACATTTACATTTTTATTTATATAGATAAGCAGAGACTTATAATAGTGCAAAGCACAAATGGAGAACCCCTGGTCTTTTAATTATTAGCAAGCTTACCTTTAATCAACCAACTCATTGCTGGAAAATGTAACTGGAGTTTCACAAGGTCCTTTCCCCCAAAATAGAAAGATGAGTGTACGTGTTATGGGACACCCAAGCTAGAGCAACCTTAGCAAGGATCAGATTAAATAGCTTAAACGCTGGCTTAAAAGCGTAACAAAAATGTTGTCCTC